TTACTTTATAACCTTAATAATTCAAGGTTACTTGCCAATAAAGGCAATGTGATTTGGGGCTCTGAAGCTACACAATTTAGCCATCAGTTTGGCTCAATCACACATTAGCTGCTTATTCAACAAGGTGGACAAACTAATTCTCAAACATCGATGTTAAAATAGAGACATCCTTTATGCCTGCCCTCTAGAAATGACTTAGTGACTTATTTAATAGCCTGACCCAGCCACAAGGAAAGTAACTAAGACATATTCTCTAGCCAGTATCTTATAAAGAAAAATATCCCACTGGTGTTGGGGGAGGGTTGAGGATACCTGATTACTAAAAAACCTCTTCTCTCTTGGGTATCTTTGATTTTGCTATGTTGGAAACAAAGAACTACTAGTACTAAAATGGGTAAATAGAAATGGAACACATGTGGTGTGAAATTAAAAGAGAGAACTGTTTTGGAAGGGAAGAAAACCAGCAAGAGGGGAATAGGATAGGGGAATGCATTTCAAGAGAGACATGAATAAGAACAAAGTGTGATGACATATGTTAAAATGTCATAATGAAAACATTACTTTCTCTGTGAGTTTAAGGGTAATAGAAATAAATTTAAAAGTGCATAAAATGAAAATCATCATTGAAGATGCTTTTCAATTTATACCTATTTAAATAAATATACTCAAATAAGTAGATAACCAAGACAAACTAAATAATAATGATAATAATAATTGAAGATCTATGCTCTGCTCTGTGCCATGTGCTATAGCATAGATTCTAATACAGCCTTGCTGGGATGGTTTTAGTGTGTGTGTGTAGGAAGTCTGACCTAGCTGTAGAGCCACATTTGACTGAGGAAGAAAGCCCCAGAATTCACAGATGTTGCTCACAAATGGAATCTTATCCCAAGTGTGTAACTAAGAAATTGTGTAGCCCAAGTCTAAGGAATTTACACACCCCACATGGAATTCTGCTGCTTGCAATTAATACACATCTGAATCTTAGGATATGTGCACCAAGAACACTGTGCACTTTGCTTCAAAAGCACAGGTCATGTTTGGAAGTTCATGAACTCTTTGAAGTTCTCAATTATCATATTCTTTTCCAAAATTAATTTCTTGAGGTGCCCCCTGGTGGCATCAGAGTCAAATAGGACTCAAAATAATCATACTGAAAACTAGCTGTTGGGTCAGGAACATTTTGTTTTTGTTTTTGTTTTGTTTTTCGAGACAGTATTTCACTGTGTTAAATATCCCTGGATGTCCTGGAACTTTGTAGACCAGGCTGGCCTTGAACTTATAGAGATCCACCTGCTTCTGCCTCCCAAGTGCTGGGATTAAAGGCATGCACCATCACATCTGAACAGGAACTTTTAAAAGGTATAGATCCCATTAAAAAATGGGGTACAGAGCTAATAGATAATTCTCAATAGAGGAATCTAAAATGGCTGAAAGACACTTAAGAAAGTGCTCAACATCCTTAGCCATCAGGGAAATGCAAATCAAAACAACTTTGAGATACCATCTTGTCCTGCCAGAATGGCTAAAATCAAAAATACCAATGACAGTTTGTTCTGGAGAGGATGTGGAGAAAGGGGTACACTCCTCTACTGCTGGTGGGAGTGCCAACTTGTACAGCCACTTTGGAAATCAGTATGGTGGCTCCTCAAGAAAATGGGAATCAGTCTACTACAAGATCCAGCATCTCCACTCTTAGGCATATATCCAAAGGATGCACATTCATAAAACAAGGACATCTGTGCAACTATGTTCATAGCAGCATTATTTGTAATAGCTAGAACCTGGAAGCAACCTAGATGTTCCTCAATTGAAGAATGGATAAAGAAAATGTGGTGCATTTACATAATGGAGTATTACTCAGCAGAAAAAAAAACAATGGAATCTTGAAATTAGCAGGCAAGTGGATGGAACTAGAAGAAACCATTCTGATCAAGGTAACCCAGTCACAATAAGACAAAAATAGTATGTACTCACTCATATATGGATTTTAGACATAGAGTAAACAATCCACACTGCCAGAGAAGCTAGTAAACAAGGAGGACCCTAAGAGAGACATACATGGTCCCCAGGAGAAGGAAAAAGGGACAAGATCTCCTGAGCAAATTGGGAGCATGGGTGGAGGGGAGAAGGAGTTAGGAGAAAGAGAAGGGGAGAAGAGCAGGGGAGAGGAGGATATGAGGGAGCAGGAAGATCTAGTCAGGAGAAGAATAAAGGAGAGCATGAAAAGAAATACCTTAATAGAGGAAGCCATTATAGGTTTAAAAAGAAATCTAGCACTAGGGAAATGTCCAGAGATCTACAAGGATAACCTCAACTGGGAATCTAAGCAATAGTGGAGAGGCTATCTTGAATGCCCTTCCCCAATAATGATGCTGATGACTACCTTAAATGCAGTAGCCTTCATCCAGTAGCTGATGGAAGTGGAAACAGAGACTCACAGCTAAGCACTGAGCCAAACTCCTGGAATCCAGTTGTAGAGAGGGAGGAGTGACAAGCAACAGAGTCAAGACCAGGCTTTCTTGTCATTCCAGGGTCTAGTGCTTTGCACAGCACATACAACAAGGGTCACACCGCTACACAGCCAGTGGGACTACACCTGCAGTTGTATGAGGTGAGGAATGAAGGAAAACCTCACCTATGGTTTATGGAATGAACCTACAAAGGGTCAGACTTCTCTCTGCTTCCCAGAAGGTCAATGATATATAACCAATCCTGAACAGGGAGTGTGGCGGCAGGATTAGCTTCATATTGGGTATTCAGGTGAAAAATGAAGATCGTGAGTTACACACTTATCTTGATCTACACTTCCCATCAAAGCCTTTACCACCATTTTCCCTTAATTACTTCACACCAATCTGTATGTTTCATGATTATTTCCAGGGTCATGCACTTGTCACCTATCTCCAGTATTTACTGAGTACCCACTACATGAGTATGTAAGTTGTCAACGGTACATCTAGTTTTGTCATTGAGATAGCAAACATGCTTCAGTTTTATCAATTGTCAAGTCTAGAAGCTAGAAAGAACCAGCCACCGCACATTACTAATCTAGATATTTTTTTTATAAGACAATAACGCCAGGTATATTCCCCTCCCTATTTTCCAGAGAAGACTGAGGGACAGGTATCATTTAGTTATCTGAGACCAAAATTGAATTCCTGATGATTGACTTGGAGTCTGTATTTGGAGCTTGAAATTTTCTGAGTCATTCATCCATTTCTTCATTAACACATCATTGAGTATCTGTCATGTGACAGGTAGGGCTCAGTGGATTAGGTTTAAGATATGAACAAGTCAGATACATTCTTTATGCTCAAAGAGCCTATGCCCCATTGAGGGAGCCAGGCAAGTGTCATAGTGGGATTAAACAGAACTGGGTAGCGTAAGTCAGTTCCCTGTGTGACCTTTTGATGTAATAGAGAGATTCTTAAAGTAAGTGTAAGATGTATAAGGTCACTGCTTTTCAATAACCCTTGTTTTTAAATAGTACATGCTAAGATAATGACAGCATACAGTATAGTCATATGTGATTTGTAAACAAGTAGTCATTAATTTTCATTATTGAATACATATTTTACATAATTCTATGCATTACACTTTAAAATTTTTATTTTATTTTCAATTATGTGTATGTGTAGGGGGAATATACATATGAGTGGAAGTGCCTGCAGAGACTAGAGGAACTGGCACTCCCTGGAGCTGGAGTTGCAGGTGGGTGTGAGCTGCCTGACAGGATTGCTGGAATCAAACTTGGGTTCTCTGCAACAGTAGTATATACTCTTAATTATGGATCTGCATCTACAGTCTTGTATGCTTTACTGTTATAAGATGTGTTTGGATTAATGATACAAAAAGCACAGGTAATGCATTTCTCTATGACCTCACAATGGCCACAGCATCAGGAGGTGCTGTAGGAATGCTTCAGCTCCATTGTAACCTCATGAGACTACAGTTGTATATGTGGTCTGTCTGTCATTGATCAGAACAGTGTTATGTGATGGAGTGCTCCATGTTAATAACATCATTGTTCTTAATAGCCCTGAGGTGAAAATGAGGCAAAACAGTATTGACTTTAAAAATAGAGGCAGTTCAGACCAGTATTACAACATGAATGGAATTTGAAGACACTATTCTATATGAAATCAGTTAAACATTAAAGAACAAATGCTGGATATTTTCCTAGATATGTAGAGTAACCAAAGTCAGAGAGATGGAGTGTGAAATGTTGTTGCCAGGCACTGGGGAATGGGAGGCTTGGAAACAAGAGTTTCATTTTGGGAAGATGGAAATGTCCTGGAGATGATCAGTGTGATGGTTGTACAGCAGTGTGCATGCTTTTAATAGCACTAAAATGCACAATTCAAATAGCTAAAATGACAAGTTTTGATAGGTATATGTTAATACAATTTTTAAAATGATATCCAAAAGTAGAAGTCATAATAAGCCAGACAATTTCATTTCATCTGAATCCTTCAAAAAACTGTGTTCCCAATCAGTCCCGATAATAAAAGAATTGGATAAATTTGCTACCTGACAACATTTTAGAAAAATGTCTAGAAACCACAAGTTCAGTGACTCTGTTCATAGAAGAAATTGTAACACTTCTGCCAAGAAGGATCTAGTCATTGCCAACCCTGAAAACACAACTCTGTTGCAAAAGTGAGCAGCGCTCACACAGACAGCCCTGTAGTGAGCAGTGTGCACACGAACAGCTCTGTAGTGAGCAGTGTGCACACAAACAGCCCTGTAGTGAGCAGTGTGCACATGAATAGCTTTTTAGTGAGAAGTGTGCACATGAATAGCTTTGTAGTGAGCAGTGTGCACACGATCAGCTCTGTAGTGAGCAGTGAGCCTCTCAGAAGCACAGCCACGTAGTTTCTCCCTTCATCCCTGGCAGTGGCCCATGGAATGGAATCCTAACATAGCCATGCTGCAGAGGATCTGCTGATGTTCCCAGTTGTTGCCATGTGAATGGAAAATGTCTCCCACAGGCTCACGTGTCTGGACACTTGGTCCTTAGCAGGTGTTGATGCTTTCGAAGGTTGTGGAACCTTGGAGATGCCACCTAGGTGGAAGATGTGGGTCACAGGGGGTTGGAGGCTGGACGTTTACAGCCAAGCCCTATATTGTGTTGGATCTCCAATTCCTGATCCTCTCATATGTGATGAAGCTGCTTCACACTGCTGCTGGCAACTCTTCCCTGCCATGATGCAATGTACCTTCCGGTCACCTGCCAAAGTGAACTCTTCCCTCACGTTGCTTCTTGGCAGGTATTTGGTTATACAACTAACTTTTTGAACACCATCGGCCAAGGCCCCAGAGTTTTGCTTCTCCTTTCCCCTGGAAGGCAAATCCTCTGTAGCAAGCCTGGCATCTCTAACTAGGAAGGCAAATGGGAACCTGGAACACAGGGCTGAAAGTAGATTTCCTTCATGGCCAAGCCAAGCACTTCAAACTGTCCAGCCAGATGTTTCTCTATACGATCCTGGCAGCCATGTCCTGGGGAAGAGCCAGAATTTGGCCTAATTTCTACACTGAAAAGCTTGATGGAATGCTGGGGTAGTGCCATCCTATAATAAAAGAGGTGGTCCCTCTGATCAGCACACCGTTCCCATTTGCTTTGGGAGTCTCTCCAAGGGTGGGTGGGCTTGAGTACAAGCGGGTGTGTTCATCCAATCTGTGCCAGGGCCTGGGTGGAGGAGGGAAGGGGGCTGAGAGAAGGTGGATGGAGAAGAAACATTCTGCATGAGTAGGAGCTGGTGCCAGATGGAGCTGGAAGACAGGGCCTTCCTCTTCCCATGGGTGGCCACCAGGGGATTGCCTGGCTAGGCGCACTGCTTCACATCTCTCAACTAAATCAAAGATGCATAATTGAAGATGCAAATCAAGAAACATTACGTAGTTCTCGAGGCTCCCTAGAGGGTTTGGAGTCTGTAATCCAATGAGGAAATTTTAATGAGACCTGAGCTTGCCTTCTCATCTGTGAGAGAGGCTCACACTCCAGCTGTGCTCAAGGATGCAGAAAAAGTGGTTTCTTTCTTTTTTTTTTTTTCACAATGTGGGCAGTCTTTGTTGATTCGTTGCTGCCTCTCATTTCTCTTGGCTCTCTCTTGCTTTCTTCCCAAAGAGGTAACTTCCTTTTGAAGCTTGGGCCTTTATTGATTTTGTTACTGAGGTGTTAGGGCAAATAAGTGAAGAACGTGTCATTAACTGATACATTTTCTAATAACAAATCTAAATACTTCTAAATGTCTAACCATCAAAGCAATGTACATTGAAAATAAAATTCAAACAAAAAGTAGGGATAGAAATGAGTAGGATGGGAAGTAGAAACTTGGATTGAGTAGTTTTCCAAGGTCCACCCTTCATAGTTCCAAAACCTTCTGTGATAAATGAATGATGTTTCCTTGCTTCCAGTACTCAAGGGCCAATATGTTCATAAAACACATACAAAGGAGTTGTTAGAATAATTACCAAAAGCATCCATAGACATTTAAGGGCAAACACACTTTTAAAAAGTCCTAACCTCAGCAATAGCACAGGTCACAGAAACAACACACCGCTCTAGCATTTCTGAACACTCCCAATTTCGGTAGTCATCGTGAGCACCATTTTCACCTTGAGATTACAAAAATTCCGTATGGATCAAACATACGAACACATAGAATTAAAAATATATATAAGGAGAACAGAATATACACTCTGCCTCCTAACCCTAGCATTTTTTTTATTTTAGTATTTGGACATCTTTCATATTAGTCCTTAGAAGATCTACCTAATCTTTTCTTCAGTGTTTTTAAAAAAATTAATTATGTGTGTATGTGTGTGTGGACACAAATGCAAGAGCCTTGGCAGGCTAGAGTGAACTTTGGATGCTCTGGAGCTGGAGTAACAAGCAGTTGTGAGCTGGAAGGTGGGTTTTGGGAACTGACCTGAGGTTCTCTGCAAGTACAGTAAGTGTTCTTATCTTTAGAGTCATCTCTTTAGCCTCTAGCTGATTTATTTTTGTGGGCTTCTGGTACTTCCTGGCATAAAGGCTTCACTTAAAATGATACAAAACAAAACAACAACAAAAAAACTAACCTGAACATTTACAGACAAACAGCTGGTTTCTAGATTTTGTTTATATTCAAATTTTGAACACACACACACACACACACACACACACACACACACACACACCAGTGTTGGTGATGAACTAGTGCATTCGAAGCTATGCTTTCTCAACACACTCCCATATATGCCTTTTAATATTCCAGTTGCCAGTAGCACCTCCTGGAATTTCTGGTTTATGTGCAAAAGCAAACTCTTTTGTAGCCTGAAGGTTCTTGTTGATCTCTGTGGGAGTCACACCAGTGGTGAAATGACTGAAACAACATTTGTTACCACACACAGGATAAGGCACACCCTCCAGAGAAGAGAGCTGCATGTCACATCAGGAAGGTGGATCCCATCACAGACAGGCTTTCTCAGCAAGGGGCAGGAAGGTGCATATTCAGTCTTGAATACAGGAGCTCCAGGATCCCCAGAGAGCCAAACTCAGACTCTGGCCCCTTGGCAAACAAAAGTTTTATACAGGCACCTCAGACTTCACCCCAAAAGCCTGAATGATGGGAATGGAGTCTGGAAATTCACCCTGCTTAAGCCCAGATTCTTCTCTTAGTGTATTTTTTCTTTTAAATAAAATTTTATTTAAATTTAAAACAATCTTATTTTAGGTACCAATCCCAGTTCCCTCTCCCTTCCGTCCTCCCATGCCCCCCACCAGTCTCCCATCCCACCCCCATCCACTCCTCAGGGATGGTGAGGCCTTCCATGGGGGAATCATCAAAGTCTGTGACATCATTTGGGGCAGGACCTAGACCCTCCCCCATGTATCTGGGCTGATAGAGTATCCCTCCATAGGAATTGGGCTCCCAAAGCCCATTCGTACACTAGGGATAAACACCTCTCAGTGTATTTTTGCTGAAGAACTAAATTTGGCACTGTGCAGGGTTATGTTTGTGAGTCTGCACACTGTCACTACAGCTTTATGTGGCCCGTTGTGGCAGCAGTTAGCACTGTGCTGGTAAGCCATACTCCACTCCCAGGCAGGCAGGTCTAGTCTAGAACCTAAGCATTTGGCCCTGGCAATCTTGCTTTGGGCACAGGGCATGACCCAGAAGAGGGGTGTAGCATTTCTGACGTTTGTATTTGAGATGTCTCCAGCACAGCCCATTATGTCAGGTCTCTGGGCATGTACAGAGTACCGGGGAAGATTTCGTGTTGAAGGCAAAATTGCCTAAGTGGAAAGATGAGTTTTTCTCTCTACTGGGTTAGCCAGGTTTAGACCATGAAGTTCACCTATGTGGGTTTGGATAGTCAGATTTGAGGAAGGGGCAGTGCTAACTCCCTGGGCATTTTCAACAGAGAATAGAAATGCTATGGTTCCCAAAGGCTGACAAGGACTTGGAAACCTCTATGTGGGAACTAGATTCACACTGAGAGAGAGCAGGCACAGAGACCAGACTGATTCTGCTGAAATTCACTGCAATCAAGAATGAGTAAATCCCATCAAGGGTTCGAGTGGGAATTAGGGGTTTGTGCCAGCAACCACAGATGCTTGTTTTCTTTTGTCTAACACTCAGGCTGGGTTCTGAGATGCCATCCCATGTCCCAGCCATCACCTGCTCTGGGAAAGGTCTTAGGTTGACATTTCCTCAGTGACCTGCCAGCCCCCAATGCAGAACTCCTGCAGATTTTTTTAAAAACACTGCAAAAAGCCCTTTGAGTGCAAACCTGCCTCAGCAGGCCTGCTTTACAGATCTCTGGAGAAATGTTTTCTTTTTTCGTCTGAATGTGCTCTTTGGAGTGGGCACCTTTCCTAGTCTCAGCCTCTTTTGTTTTCAAGCAAAGTTTTCTTCTCAGTCTGGTGAAAGCAATCTTCAACGTGTTCAGAGTTTCTTTTTCAAAAAGCACAGAGACAGACATTTTCCTTGTAAATACCTCCATTTCAGAGTTCTTATAAGGGGCACTTTATCCTGACATCAAAATTCTGCTTCTTGACTTCATGTTCTTGGTCTTAATGACCACCCAGCAGAGAACATGCTAAATGCCCTTTTGCTTTTGAGACAACCCTTGGTTACAGGGAAGACCAGGATGCACATTCTCTGAAAGCATGTTGGCCTGAGGTGACCCCACATGCGTTTTTCAGAGAAGATGGCTGCATCTTAGAAGGAGAAATGCCAAGACCATGGAATCTCCTAGAGAACACACTTTATTGTGTGATTTCAATCAGCATGTAGCTTTCACCTCCAGGTGACAGAGGCAGACTTAGGAAAGTTAACTGCCACATCTAGGGCAATTGTTTTATTGATACTTCATGAGGTAAATCAGTATTCTTTTCACTTATGTCTTTTTCCTCTGGGTACAGAGAAAAGAATCCGGCCATTTCCTGGCTGATCCATGAGGCCCCCACGGGAGGGGCAGTAGGGATGGCCTAACATGTTGATACAGGCTTGGGCACCACTTTGCTCTGTATAACCATCCCTTGTGGCAAAGTCATATCAAACCACTTATATCAGGAAGAACTAAATTACTAAGTAATTATCATGTGGTTGATTTCTTTACTGTGAAAAATAGTAAAAGGAAAGAAAGTAGAGAGGGAAGGTTGAGGGAGGGAGGAAGAAAGGAAGAAAGGAAAGAAGGAAGGAAAGAAGGAAGGAAGGAAGGAAGGAAGCTGGACAGTTTTATGTCAACTGAAACAATCTACAGTTATCAGAAAGGAGGGAAGCTTATTTGAGAAAATGCCTCCAAAAGATCCAGCTGCAAGGCATTTTCTTAATTAGTGATTGATGGGGAAGGGCCCAGCCCATTGTGGGGTGCCATCCCTGGCTGGTTGTCCTGGGTTCTATAAGAAAGCAGGCTGAGCAAACCATAGAAAGTAAGCCAGTAAACAACACCCCTCCATAGCCTCTGTATCAGCTGCTGCCTCCAGGTTCCTGTCCTGCTTGAATTCCTGTCCTGACTTCCTTTGATAAAGTATAAGCCAGATAAAACCTTTCCTCCCTAAGTTGCTTTTCGGTCATGGTGTTTTATCACAGCAATAGACATCCAAACTAAGGCAGGAAGGAAAAAGTAGCCCCCCTGAATACAGGTGACAACGGTGTGGCTTGGGCAGTATATGAAGCCACTGGCAATGGGTCCAAGATGGAACTATAATGCATAAACTGACTTTGTGGAGCTCATTCTCAATGGAGAGATAGCTTGCTCATCCTAGACATGATGGGGGGGGGGTGGTTTCTTGGTCCTGTCTCAAGAGGTGAAGGGACAAACTTAGTTGACATCCTAGGGGGAGGCTTTACTGTCTCTGAGGAGTGGATGGGAAGTAAGATGGGGGAAGGAGAGGATAGCAGGAGGAGAAGAGGGACAGGACCTGAGACTGGAATGCAAAAAAAAAAAAAAAAAAAAAAGACAGGAAGGAATGTTTTACAGATTAAATGCTTTGGGGGAAATACACAAACAGATTGTTTTCATTGTCTTGATAGGAAAGGAGAAGCTTGATCTCTACTGAGGAAAATCTCTCAAATTTGTGGAAGTGAAAAATTAAACACTAGTCTAAGCACAGTTCTCTGCCTGTCATAAGGAAGGGTCTGCTAGCTTCACACGGGCTCCTGAGAGTTTGCTTAACACTCAAGTTTTGTCTGTTGTGAAGTGGCTTGGTCAGAGGTGTCTGGGAGCAGAAAGCTACCTCACGTGATTTTTGAAAAACCCTTCACCTCCCATCTAACTCTTTCCCTTAGATCTCTACTGACAACATAGTATGCTGGTGTGTGTTTTTAAAAGGGAATCAGCTTCTTTTCAATTACCCTATCTAGGGTGGAGGCCCAGGGGAGAGGGAAAAAAGAACTGAGCAGAGTGGATCTCAAGGAAAGAGAAAGGCGATCTTTCCCAGGTGGAACCATGGGTAGACGCCATAATCTTTTAAGAAGAAAACAAAAACAACTAAAGAATTTCACAGAGCTGAGGGGAAAGTGTCTGAGGGTGAAATTGGCCCACAAGATTTTTTTTTGAAAGACAAGGAAAGAGTACATCATCACTACAAGGGATTCAGGTAACTACATAAGACAGATCTGAACAGCCTAGAATCTAGGTTCCAGGTGGTGAGGAAAGTCAGAAATTGCTATGCACTTGCCGAAGCCAAAGTGGCAATTGTCATCAAATCAGAGATTATAGCCGTGTGAGCCCACAGGTTTCTAAATGGTAACAGCTTCTTCACCTTCATCAGATCTTCAGTGGAACTTTTGTTCAGTTCCACAGGCTTCAATTACTACGCTGAGGACCGGCAGGACCATATATTGCATAGAAACAATTGAATCTATAGTCAATATCAATGAACTAATACAAATGTGTCCTTTTGGCAAAATCAATATGAAATGTGTTGCCTTGACCGACAACTCTCTGATTACTGGGTTCTTGGTAAATATAGCATTGTCTGCTGATTCATGAGGTCTATACTCTTGGGAAATGCTTCCACAGGAAGCAGGAAACTTCCTGTGGCCCTTCAGATGATCTTCATGAAATGAAATGAAGAGAAATACAGTGTATTGTGTAGAAGGAAGAGATGCTGATAACAGTGA